AATAGCTTGTAAAAGGTATTTCAAGAGTTATTTAGCTCGCAGCAAATACACAGCATCAGATTTGACCAAGGTTACAATGTACAAGTAATCACTTTCTTTTGCTCAGCGCTTTTTAAAGAGTTTTCTTTTTTTCAAAATCAAGCTCAAAAGTTGGGGGTGCGGCTTATATACGAGTGTGGCTTATACATGAGTTTTTACGGTAACTCAAAGAATATTCCTTCCACGTTAGAAAGGTTTGGCCAATTGATGCACAACATTGAAAACTAAAATTTTGTGGGAGTACGTCAAGGAAATGTAAAACAGAAAAAATATGTCTAGAAATGTGATTATGTGTACTTATGAAATTGGCGACACTACTACGAGTCTTGAATTCGAAGGCATTTGACGTACTCCCACAAAAAACTTCGTTCACATGCGTAGTTTATGTCTGCCAAGTTTTAAGTCCTTCCATTTAATCTACGAAAAGAAAATGAAATGAAAAATCCCCACATTTGAAGCACCGTCTGTTTTGACACACAAAATCAAGCTTAATTTGAAAAATATCAGTCCGAAAGCTCTCCTTCGATCGTTTTCAATGGCAGCCATCTTGTCAAGGCCTACAATAACAGTTTCCAGCGGTATATCGTCCAAAACGGCCCTGTTTTTTACCCCTCTTTCCTTTTACGGGGTGCTATTTTTCCCACGAAACCAATCATAAAAAGCGATTACAAACAATGACGCCTTTGCATAGCAACGGCACCCGCAACGGCATCCAACTATTAGTGTTGACAGATGAACGCGACTAGAGCTAAGCGAAATTGAAGCAAGCGAGAAATTGAACGTGCTAGAAAATCTCATAGACTAAAACCAAAAGAAAAGAGAACAAATTGGAGTGATGCCACCGAAAAAACGACCGAAACAAACGAACGAGAAGTCGGCGAAAGCTAACGAGGCTCAGGGTTCTGGTTCACATCGAGAATCGCACTCGATTTTGAAAAGTTGAGGGAAGCTGGCTGGACGATCAAACAAGAGGAGAGGGAGTCTTCTTCGGGAGTTAAGGTTTACTTTCGCTACTCAAACCCAGGTGGAAAGACATTGAAAAGTGCTAAGGACGTAGAGCGTCAACTGAAATCAGAAGGAATCTACGAAAGATTCACGACTGAAAAAGCTGACCGAGCGTCCCAAATCTGTCAAACTCAAGGATCTTCTTCATCAGACCCTGATTATGAAGCCCATGTGATTCACGAGGTAAAGGAGGAGAAATGGTGAGTTTTTGGTTGCTTGTGTGTGCAATGTGTTATCTTGATTATGAATATGCTTGTAAACTACTGATTTATGCGATTTTCATAAGTTCTGTGAACTTCTATTTATTCAACTGCTCATGTATGTGAGAACTGACATTAGCATTCTTTTGCCATATTGTGTTGTTTTCATCCCAGCCTATTTATTCACACTGACAAAGATACCCCTGATAGAAGCATTTGGTTTTTGATATTTTTAGTGGTAGGACTGATGTTCCAGAAGGTTTGTTCGTGGCCACAACTTCGAGCATTGTCTCTTTTGTTCAAGATTTCAACCAATTTTTTAAATGTTCATCAAACAACAGAAAATGTAAAGGTATGTTTTCTCTTTTTACGAGTTTATTCTTGTAATGATGTCTGATTAGCGAAGGCCGCAAGTAAACCCTTTGTTTTCGATACGGTCTACAAAGTGTATCTAACTTGTCTACAGTGTATAAATTTTATTTTATGACCCAACATGAAATTTAATTTCTCCTTACACTCTGAGTATTACTTTGCTGCGCATTGAGGCTAAAATTCAGAAAACTTGCACCTGACAGCTCTAGTTGTAGAAGACTAGGGAAATTTAAATTAATTTAGTTTTGGTTCTGTGTCAAACAAAACTTGTCTAAATATGATAAAACCCTATTTCTTACCTCTTCTAAGAAGTCAGTTTTCTGATGTTGAACATTTCCTAGGTAACTTTGACCTGCTGAGTTTTTCTAAATGTTTGCAGTAATTCTCAGTTTTATAGCATGTTTTTGTCCCCTAAAATCTCATGCACGTTTTAAACTTTGCAGAATTTTCTTTGCTTGTATTTATTAACCGATAAAAGCTTCACAAAATAGTAGCTAAAGAAACTTTTGAAACAACGCCACATCGGCGATTTTCAAACTTATTTCAACCCTAAAATCCTTTTGGTCCAACAATTCCTTCAAGGCATTATATTTAAAATGCATTTGTTACTAAACCAAAACATCTTTTGAAATCTCAATGGTATCATTGCAATCTAATTACATGATATTAAATGCACCAGCATTTTGAGCCAGAGAGGTTTAATTCTTTTAAAATATTTTGGTGGAAAGATGGGTCAAAACATGGTTATTTTTTGGCCTAAAACAGATCATGAACACATATACCGCAATAGCTCTTAGACGTTAAAGAACTTTGCTATAATATTTTACCCACTGCATTATCACCTTATTATGTAACCCTACAAATGAAAGGGTTTGTGTGATCCTACAAAGGCCTTTCTTATGAATAAGTTGTTGACAGCCTTGGGTCATCAGGGTTCAAGCTCCACAAGCTCATGGGATCACTCACTCATACCAACTCTTTGGCTTTTCAACATACTCTATTCTCTGTGATGTTCTCACTAGCCTTTTATGGTTTTTTCGAATCAGGGAGCTAGTGGCCAAGAGCACGACTTCTGGCAGTGCAGTAGTTCAATGCAGTAATTTGCGCTTTCTCACACAACAAGGTAGTATTCGCATGATTACAATAACGGTAACAAACTTCAAGCACAACACCACAATACCGACCGTCATCCATTTGATATCTCAATAGCATGAGAGGATCTCTTGCTTATGCCCAGTTCAAGCCATCACAGAATTTTGTAAGTTTAGGGGCACTCACGTGCACCCACTTTTCTGCCATAGTGACACAAGCCCAATCACGTTGATCAGTTTAATGCCACACCTCATAGCTGCTTGAGTTTTCGTGGTCTAGATACAAGCAGGTACAAAGGTCATAGCCATCAAACTGGGCTGCCAGTCATGTGGCCGACAAAGGTTTCTCTCATATGGAAGACAGATTATCGATCCTTTTATTAAATGTCGAACAAAATAATTGATTACATACGTTTGCTTTATCCTCTGGAGTTAATGCATGCATTCTGTCATATATGATACAACCGGGTGTGCTCTGTTTCTTTGTACATGATTTCACAAAAGACCAAAAGCGTTTCAGACTGGTGTTTAATGAAACTGTGAGGTCTTTGACATATGCAAAATAGGCTTGTTTCTATTGTTTTTCACCAAGTTGCTAAATTTTTTAATAGTTGGCTCATTTTGCTTGATCCCCAGAGAATTTCGCCTTCTTCCAGAGTCTTTGCTTCTTGTGCAAAAATTTCTTCAAGTCTGAGTTAAGTCAAGGCATATGGCGTCAACATTTAATCAACTTCTTCTGAATATTATGTTCTACAGCTTGGGAAACTAATGTCCTCCATGCTTACCACACATCATCCACAGAGCTCATTTAATAGATCGCATCCCATGGAATCTTAACAAGATCCTCCCTAAGACCTTTCCAATCTGCTGTGCGAAAGTTGTAAACAAACAATTGGTATATATAATGCAGTCACATGGGGCACGTCCTGTGCGAATTTGAGCCAAATCGATGAAAACCTTGCAATTTGTACGTGGTTAAAGTTTCATGGGGCAGAATGCATGGACATCATTAAATATTCATTATCAGCGAAGTGGCAAATTTGAATGCGAGAGCGCTCACAATAAGAGAAGAAAGGGCTAAAATTGGCAAATGAAAAATTTATCTTTTTTCTACCAAAATATGTTTGAAGATTAAAAATCGGTCAACGGGAACCACTGTTCTTTCCGGTTTGAAAACTGCTAGTTGTAGTTGTGTTTGAAAATGGCGCGTCTCGAGCAAGTGGGCTATTGTTTCAAGCCTACGACCGAATAACAATGGTAACCAAGACTAAAACAAAACCCATTCAAAAAAGCCACTCGTGTGTAAAATGGTTCACAATTGCCGCGAATTTTAAAACTGAGGTTACTGTTCCGGCTGACTTATTCGAATAGCCGACCAGATCGCGCAATGAATATAAACATGGAAAACGTCAGTGATCGGGAGCTCTTTTCAGAGCTCTTCGAAAACCCGATCAATCCGTTACTCCTTCATATGGTACCTCCATTTGTTGACGTAAACAGTCCGATGTATTATCTTCAACTTAACGGCGAAGTAATATATAACTGGCGACAAGTTCACGGGCGTCCCCAAACAGTCTTCGACTTGCTCCAACGAAGCATCTTGCCTCTTGGATACCAGCTGAAGGCATCGGGTCAAGAGCGTATTGGAAATGCACTTGCTGAGAGCATTAGAAGATTCTGGAGAAAAGTTCAAGGAACAAAGGACGGAAAAAAACGAAAAAGATTAAAAGCAGAGACTTGGGTCAAGCTGGCCATAAAACCGGAGGAGATCGAGCGGACACCTTTCGACGTGTTGGCCGAGACCAGAAATGTAGAGGAGAAAGCGGCTTCTCTGTATGAGGAGATGCGGCAAGAACTTGCACACCGTGGCAAGGACTTCACTGATGTTGGCAAGAAACAGCAACACAGACATTTGACACAAATAAAGTAAGTAGACTTTTAATCTTATAACCAATGTAAACGGTAACCATGTAAACAATTCAGTTACCAAGAAAAAATTTATAAGCTAATCATTACCTAAGCGCACAAAAATGGTTTTTCATGTGTGATCTCACTGCTTACATTGTTTTCTCCTTTTTGGCAGAAATAAAGCTCAAGACGCACTGTGGTTTGGGGAAACCTATGGCCTAATTCCCCAATCATTAATAGTTGAAGACAAAAATGGAATGGTCCATGAGATAAACTTGAGCCAAACAGGTAAACTAACTTTGCAGTTTAGTATGATGCATAAGAATAACTAGAAAATGATTGAGCAAACACAGGTATAGCTGTATTCTGTTCTCTTGCTTGACAGATGATGCTGAAAAAGAAAACACTCCAGTCAGCGAGAGGAACTCAGAAAGCCAGAGCCGGGAACAAGGACATCAGGGAGACAGTTGTAAAGGTGAGTTAACCTTACAGCACACATGTGATCACAGAACTACCAAACTTTACTAAGTTAGACCATTTTGTTTCTTTTCAGAAAGGAAAGCTCAGT